GGAGATTTTCCTGCCTCAGCCTCCCCAGTAGGTGGGACCTACAGGCATGCGTCAGCACACCCAGCTATTTTTATTTTTTATTTTTTAATGGAGTCTCATTGTGTTGCCCAGGCTGGAGTGCAGTGGCATGATCTCGGTTCACTACAACCTCTGCCTCCCGGGTTCAACTGACTCTTCTGCCTCAGCCTCCTGAGTAGCTGGGACTACAGGCGCATGCCACCATGACCGGCTACTTTTTGTATTACTGGTGGAGATGGGGTTTCACCATATTGGTCAGGCTGGTCTCAAACGCCTGACCTCGTGAGTCACCCACCTTGGTCTTCCAAAGTGTTGGGATTACAGGCGTGAGCCACTGTGCTTGGCCCATGGCTTATTTTAAAGCAGTGGTTCTCAAGTAGAAGTGGTTTTGCCCCTACTCTTGTCCCACCCAGAAGACATTTGACAATGTCTGGGGACATTTTCTATTGCCACCTGTGGCTGTATGGGAGTAGAGGCCAGGGAGGCTGCTCACCATTCTACAGTGCACGGGGAAGTCCCTCCCTACCCAGCAAAAAATTATTCAGCACAAAATCTCAGTCATGCCCAGGCTGAGAAACCCTTTCATTTATTTACTTAATTATTTTGAGAAACCTTGTCTTAACATAATCTTTTAAAATTATACCTTGTTCATTCATTCGTTCATTCATTCATTCAACAAATATATATTGTGAAACACAGAAAATATGTAACTACTCATCTTTCTCTGTGCTGGTGGATTGACTGACTGTTTCATTCACATAATAAGTATGTATTGAGCATCTGCTCCATGCCAGGCACTGGAATCTGGAAGAATATAATCTAGGTCTTCTTCCATGTAGGGTTTCAATTCCAGTGGAAGGGAGGCGAGAGTCCAAACAAGTTAACGAAGCAAAGAACAAGATCATTTCAACTGGCAGTAAGTCCAACGGAGAGTATCAAATGGGGCAAAGGGAGAGAGAATAGCCTGGGCTGCAGTGGCCTGCAGGATGCTACTTTCAAGAGTGGGATTGGGAAGACTTCTCTGTACAGGCCATATTGAGGCTGAGACCTGAAGTCCAAGACAGATGGCTAAGAAGGAAGTTTCATCCTCTCTGATATTATTAAATCTTCTAGTTTGAGGCTCACAGAGCCCAAGAAAATTTTCTTTGAATCCCTATGGGCTTTATATTCCATAGATGAAGTTAGAGAGCTGGCTTCCGAAGCAGTTTTGTAGAATCATTTACCAAAGGGGAGGGGAAAAATCATAACCGTTCAGAGGTTTGCAAGTAGTAAAACCTCTTGGAGGAAGAGTGTTCCAAAAAAGGGAAGAGGAGTGTTCAAAACAGAAGCAGCAACACGTTCAAAGGTTCAAGACAGGGAAGGCCTGGGTGGGCTCAAGGACCAGAAACGTACATGCTGCTGAAGCTTGTGTGGAGGAGGTGAGGTTGGAGGAGGAGGTGAGGGTAATGGATGGGCAGGAGTCAGACAGTACAGGGCCTTAGAGACCACAGCGAGAAATTCAGACTGCATTTCAGGTAGAGCAGGAAGCTGTGGGAAGATTTTAAGCAAAGTGGGCATGATGTGGTTTAGGTATTTCTTGAGTCCACCCAGCTTAGACGACAGCACTAAGCATAGACAGGGAAGGAAGTACGTTCAAGGTAAAGTCCCAGACTTGCTTGCATATGATCCCTGACTCAGTCCAGCAAGCTGCCAGCCTGAGAGTTCTCATCTCTCATTAGTGCTGGTCCTGAGTATCTCTGCTCTGCATCCTTAGTGGACTCAGTTTTTGAGCTGATGCTGACAACCCCAGCACACATGGAACTCCATTTCCCGCAGCACTGCAGGTTGGGGATGAGTGGGTGAGTCTTGCTGCCTCACACGTACCATCTGTGCCTGGTCAGACCCTCCTTAATGCTAGCTGAGCTTCCCCATTGTGAGGCTTCCTGCCCTACGGTTAGCATGCCTTTTCTATTCCTTAGCTGGATTGAGATCTTCCTTGAATATCAGACTTCTGGAGTTGCCTGGTTGCCCAGGATCCTGCCTGGCAATTTCAGCTTCTGTCCTGACGGATAATACCCTTGGGACTAGGATGTGGCACCTCCTGACTCTGACCCTATAGCAGCCCCCTGCCACTTAGAGTAAAACCCAAATTTCCATCCAGCCCTTGTTGACCCACTCAGACTCTCCTTGTACCATTTCCTCCTTGACCTTTGGCATTCGCCAGGATCTTTTGTTCCTCGCCCCTTGGTTTTTGGGGGTCTCTCCCTGTGTTGAATTCTCTCCCTTTAGTTTCTAGCCTCCTTCATGTTCCAGCTCAAATGACACCTACTCAGAGAAACCTTCCTTCTTTAAGGTTTCTCTACAGCATGCATTATCAATAAGCATGATATCATTCCCTGAGGGGTGAACACTGGCTCTTGGAAGATAACAAAAATTGCCCTTTTAATATAGAAAATACAGATGTACATACAGGACATAAACACACACATACATGTACATATACACACATGTATATATGGTTGTAAAACTTCATAGGTTTATGGATAAGGCAAAATAATATCTAAAAAATCTCTTTAGAGGAGCAACAATGAAAAAGAGGTTAAGCAACATTGCCCTGTGGAAACTAAGTCTCCCCGCTCCACTCCCCAACTTACATCCTAATTTATCTCCTTCCAATAATTTATTACAACAGGCAACTACCTTGCTTGTTATTATTTCAGTATTTCCTATCTCTTCATACTCCTCTGAATGTAAGCTCCATGAAGTCTTGGGATCTTGGCCCTTTGTTCACCACTGTATCTCCAGCATTAGCCCAGTACTGGGCATACAGTAGTTATTTACAAGTATTTGGTGATTCAATTACCATTGTAACCAAGGGGTGATTTCAAATACTAGAACAGGAACCCACTGGGCCAAGTGGACCCCTCTTGTATTTCAATTCTCACTCAAATCCTACCAGACTTGTTGGGTCCTTTTGGGCACTGAGTTCAAGTACAAGTCACCTTTTCTGCCCCATGGACAAGTTAATCTCTTAGCTTTTTTCTTGATGATTCTGTTTTCTCTCCTTCCTGACCCTTGGAAGGAGAACTGAGTAATGAGGTAGTCCAGCCCTTTTCCTGTTCCAATGAGATATGACAGTGAGTGAATATTATAGGGGTGTCTGACTCATTAAAAACATTTAAAGAAAAGTAGAGCAATCAGCTGGCTGTATGGGCAGTGGCACAGCAGAAGGCATGCGCGACTATCTGATTTGATTTAGCACTAGATTGAATCACGGCGAGCATCTGCAATAGAGAAAAGACTGGAAGGAAGTAAACCAAAATGTTAGCAATGTTATCCTTCTCTGGAATCTGGACTTGCAGTTTATTTTCTCCTTATGTTTTTGGTTAATTTAGGAATTTCTGTAATGAGGATGTGTTTATTTTATTACAAGAAACCAGGTTTTTGGTGGCTTGAGGTTTTAAGCCCACATATTGACACTGCAGTGTTAGAGAGATATAGGCACATTCCTGGTCCACTGATCTAGGACCAGTTATATTTAAATATACAGTGACCCCCAAAGAGCCTTTCTAGTGGTATTTCTGTGCTTAGAGAAGTCATTGTATTTGGGCCAATGTAATCTTTCAGGCAAACAGCCATCTTGCCAGAAGCACACCCACTAAAACTTCAGTACTTGTTTTATATATACAGAGTTTTGCTCTTGTCCAGGCTGGAGTGCAGTGGCGCCATCTCCGCTCACCACAACCTCTACCTCCTGGGTTCAGGCAATTCTGTCTCAGCCTCCTGAGTAAGCTGGGATTACAGGCATGCACCACCATGCGCAGCTAATTTTGTATTTTTAGTACAGACAGGGTTTCTCCATGTTGGTCAGGCTGGTCTTCAACTCCCAATCTCAGGTGATTTGTCCGCCTTGGTCTCCCAAAGTGCTGGGATTACAGGTGTGAGCCACTGTGCCCAGCCCTTGTTATATTTTTTAAAGGTTTTGTGACTCCCAACCTGAGGTGATCCACCAGCCTCAGCCTCCCAAAGTGCTGGGATTATAGTCATGAGCCACCGTGTCTGGCCCTTGTTATATTTTTAAAAGTTATTTGTGATTTGCAAAAGTACGATAAAGTAGTTGTACTATAAGGTACTTCCCTCACACAAAATGCAAAACAAAAAAACAAAAAATCCCGCATATTTAAAAATATTTCTCAGGGGCTTCATGTCTCCTTGAAGCCAAGGTTATAAAATCTTGACTTAGGTTTCTTAGTGAAATGCCTCTTAAAATTCAGGCCTCATCTCTTCATTTCTTCTACAAGCAGCTGCCATTAACTGACTTCCTAAATGCCCAAACCTTGCCCTTACTTGAAGAATTTTCTATATCCTCCGTCCTCCTAGCAAGGGACATATGAACCAATACAACCTGTTCATGCTTCAGTATCCTTCGAGGCTATAGTAGGGCTTCTTAATGTTCTTGTGATCAAGGAGTGCTTTCAAATCCTTTAACTTTTGGAAGATCAACTAACAATAAGACTCAATCCAACATGAGACGCAACCAATCCAGCAGTAATTCTAAAGTCCATCATGACAGCTAATATCTCCCTGGGGCTCAAAGCATCCAGCTGAGCACACAAATCATTTTAGCTCAGGGCCACTGTCTGCTCTGACAGTGATCTCTTATTTATTCACAAGGTGACAATATATATGATACCACAACAATGTACACATGGTCATGTAACCACACCGAATTGTAGACATCCATCAAAATTTGGTGGCCTGATCTGGAAAGGGTTCATAGCACAAATTGGTGTGATAAGGCACGTGGTTTGCAAATCACCAAAGAACTTAAAGCATTTCTTACATCCAAAGTACTGCTCTATGGTACAGTGACTTTCAGGACCCTCATTTAAAACAAATCCATCTGGAAAAAAAATCATTTAGTAGAAGATTGTATTTGGCTGCTCAAACCTTCCTGAGTTAAAAAGAGGAGTTTATTTGCAGAGGAAAAGCACCATTCTTACCTCCTCCAGAGCCCACAAGGAGTCCACCACAGGCTTTATCTTCTTCTGGTTGTAGAGCCCTATGAGCTTTTCCACCACTGCCCGAATGAGGCCCGCCCGGCCTTGTTTGAAGAGCAGATTTAAAAGGGAAAACCCAGCGATGACTTTGTTCTCCTCGTACAGCTTGATGGGGTTCACTTTCTCCACCTGCCACCACTGCAAAGAGAGGTGGTGTCAGGTTACAGGAACTCAATACCAGGGTTAAGGCTGCATTTGCAGCATTGCCAATGTTATCAGCTACTACATGGGGAGCATGGGACTGCAGCGAAGCAGACTCCAGCTGGCCAAGGAGTTGCTTTTGGTGGTGTTTGTTTGTTTGTTTGTTTGTTTGTTTTTTGTTTTTGAGACGGAGTCTCACTGCAATCTCTGTCTCCCAGGATCAAGCAATTCTCTGCCCGAGCCTCCCAAGTAGCTGGGATTCCAGGTGCCCACCATCACGCCTTGCTGATTTTTGTATTTTTAATAGAGACAGAGTTTCACCATCTTGGCCAGGCTGGTCTTGAACTCCTGACCTCATGATCCACCCGCCTCGGCTGGGGGTGTATTTTTTTTATTTTTATATTTTATTTATTTTTTTATTTTTATTGCATTTTAGGTTTTGGGGTACATGTGATGAACATGCAAGATTGTTGCATAGGTACACACATGGCAGTGTGGTTTGCTGCCTTCCATCCCCTCACCTGTATCTGTCATTTCTCCCCATGCTATCTCTTCCCACCTCCCCACCCCCCCGCCCCTCCCCGATTTCCCCCCAAGGGACCCCAGTGTGTAGTGCTCCCCTCCCTGTGTCCATGTGTTCTCATTGTTCAACACCCGCCTATGAGTGAGAATATATGGTGTTTGATTTTCTGCTCTTGTGTCAGTTTACTGAGAATGATGGTTTCCAGGTTCATCCATGTCCCTACAAAGGACGTGAACTGATTGTTTTTGATGGCTGCGTAATATTCCATGGTGTATATGTACCACATTTTCCCTATCCAGTCTATCATCGTTGGGCATTTGGGTTGGTTCCAGGTCTTTGCTATTGTAAACAGTGCTGCAATGAACATTCGTGTGCACGTGTCCTTGTAGTAGAATGATTTATAATCCTTTGGATATATACCCAGTAATGGGATTGCTGGGTCAAATGGGATTTCAATTTTTAGGTCCTTAAGGAATCGCCACACCGTCTTCCACAATGGTTAAAAATCTATTTTGCTAGGCACTGTTGCAAGTGCATGGGAAGCAATGTGAAGTGATGCGTATGAGACACTCAGGTCTAAGTGGGAGAGAGACCAAAACTAACTGCAAGGCCACACATAGTCGAAACATTAAGTACACGGTCAGGATCATCAGCTCCGGAGCTGAATCATGGCTCCACAATGTACTCTGTTGTGAAGTGTAAAGCACTTGACTCAGTGAAACGTGGTGGTGATGATGGAGTTGGTGAAGAAAGTAGGATGGCCAAGAGGTTTACACAGTGTGGTGGGGGACATGATGGAGGTGGCCACTCCGACTGCAGGAGCAGCTTTCCTGGGTGAGTGGTTATGATAAGCGTGAATCTGGGGAGGTGTGTAGGGATCTGTCGGATAAAGAAGAGGGAGGAGGGGTGATTTAGGAAGAAGGGACAGCATGAAGAAGCGATGAAGCCAAAGTGTTGGGACTGAATCAGTGGTTCTAAACCAGGGGTACTTTTTGTCCCCCAGAGGGCATTTGATAGTGTTGGGGGATTTTTATTTGTTTGTGACGAATGAAGAGGGAGGAGGTACTACTGGCATCTAGTGGGTGGAAGCCAGGGATGCTGCTAAACATCCCACAATGCTCAGAACAAAGAATACTCACAGCAAAGAATAATCCACAACAAAGAATTACCCAGCCCCAAATATCCACAGCACTAAAGCCAAGACGCCCTAGACTAAAGTTCTGGGTGGAATACCTACAAACTGTTAAATGTGGCCATCTCTTTTCCAGTCTCTCATCTTCCCCGTTCAAATATCAAAATAAGTAAATAATCCACTAGAAACCTAGAGAAATGGGTATCCATCTGCTTTGTTGTGATTTCATTGCTTTTCCTTTGATGCTGTAGGTTAGAAACCCAAATGCCCAGTTTCTGGGGGATTCTAGGAGGTAAGATGTTTAATGTCACCTCAATATAGGATGCAAAGAAGAATGTGATGGGTGCTTAGAAACACGGATCGTATTTATGACATCGATGAGCTTATTTATGTCCTGTCTCTTTCCAAAAAGAATTAAGGAGACTCACTAAAGTGAAAACTTTTTATTTTTTTAAATTGGGAAACTCACGTCATTAGGAGAATAAATGTGGAAAAGACAGGCTGAAAACAGTGATGCGGTTCATATACAAAATTCTATGCAAAGCACATTCAGAGAGGACTCGGGGGCCCAGAAGAGCCACGCATTTGACCGTGGGCTTCTTGGCTTCAAATTTCGATGGTCTTACCTGGCAAGGGTTTGTGGCACGCACGGTGTGGTAAGGCAGGTGGTTTGAAAACCACCAAAGAATTTAACATATTCCTTATGTCCAAAATACTATTCTATGGGACAATGATTTTTAAGCCCCTCGTTTAAAACAAACCAACTTGGGGCCGAGCTTGGTGGCTCACACCTGTAATCCCAGCACTTTGGGAGGCCAAGGCGGGTGGATCACGAGGTCAGGAGATTGAGATCATCCCGGCCAACATGGTGAAAACCCGTTTCTACTAAATAGGAAAAATTAGCCAGATGTGGTGGTGTATGCCTGTAGTCCCAGCTATGCGGGAGGTGGAGGCAGGGGAATCACTTGAACCTGGGAGGCGGAGACTGTAGTGAGCCAAGATCTTGCCACTGCCTTTCAACATGGGTGACAGAGTGAGATTCCCTCTTTTTTTTTTTTTTTTTAAAAAAAAAGTAAACAAAAACAAAAACAAAAACAAAAAACCAACTTGGGAAATACAGCAAATACAGAAAAACAATAACTTGATTCACAGTGTATCTGCAATGCCTTAGTGAATGTCTGTGGAATGAATGCCTGCTGCAAAGGTACAATTGCTGCACAGTTGTGGTTAAGAGGATTATAGAGCCGAATGCCTAGTTTTGAATCCCAGCCTTGTCACGCACTAGCTGTGTGACTTTAGGCAAATCACTTAACCTCTCTGCGCTCAGTTTCCTTACTGTTCCTTATGGGGTGGTTGTGAGGAGTAAATGTGTTAATGCATATAAAGTACTTAGCACAGAGTCTGTCATGTACGAGGTGCTCTATAAACATACACATTGTTATTATCTTAATTTGAACAGGATGCTTTTGGTTTAGTGACTAAGAGCTCCAAATTTGGAGTCAGATTGCTGTGTAAATGTTAACTTCCTCTATTAGTATCAACATCGTGATGGTATGAAAGAAAATGGCATGTTTGACAAACAGTGAGGCACAAGCTCAGTAGCAATTTGAAGATGCAGCATCATTAAGATAGCCCAGCGGGAGATTTCTATATAATTCTAATCAACTTTTCATTTCTAAGCCTCTCCTGAATACATTGAAAAAATTTTTTCTAGAACTTTTCAGAGAAAAATTCCACCTCTTGGTATGGCCTCTTTTCATTTCTCTTCCAAATGACCCTTAGTGTTTGAGCAAGCCTCCAAAAGAAAACATCCTCAGCCAGGCGCAGTGACTCACGCCTGTAATCCAAGCACTTTGGGAGGCTGAGGCAGGCGGATCACAAGGTCAGGAGTTCAAGACCAGCCTGACCAACATGGTGAAACCCCGTCTCTACTAAATACAAAAATTAGCTGGGCATGGTGGCATGCACCTGTAGTCCCAGCTACTCAGGAAGCTGAGGCTGAAGAATCACTTGAACCCAGGAGGCGGTGGTTGCCGTAAGCCAAGATTGCGCCATTGTACTCCAGCCTGGGCGACAGAGCAAGACTCCGTCTCACCCCCCCCCAAAAAAAGGGCTGGGCACAGTGGCTCACACCTATAATCCCAGCACTTTGGAAGGCCGAGATGGGTGGATCACGAGGTCAAGAGATCGAGACCATCCTGGTCAGCATGGTGAAACCCCATCTCTACTAAATACAAAAATTAGCTGGGCGTGGTGGCATGCACCTGTAGTCCCAGCTACTCAGGAGGCTGAGGCTGAAGAATCACTTGAACCCAGGAAGCGGTGGTTGCCGTAAGCCGAGATTGTGCCACCGCACTCTAGCCTGGGCGACAGAGCAACACTCCGTCTCACCAAAAAAAAAAAAAAAAAAGTCCTCAATCTGGACCTCCAGCTACAAAGCATTCTGGTAATGGGAATCCCTGCTTTGGGCAGAGGAATCTCCATCTCCGTCCTGGCTATGCTTTTACGAATGCCTTCACTGAGCATGGGCCCGCTGCAATTATTTCATTAACTGTGTGTTGAGATTGTGCATTTAGGGGAGAAAGGGAAAACACTTCTTCCAGTTGTATGCAATTTGGGACCAGTGTGGTTACCCACAGCAGTCTGTCAGCATCATGGTAATTACAGCCACAGCAAATAGCAGCTGTGTATGGCACGAAGCCTGTCTTCAGGGGACACAGTCCAGACAGCGTCCTTCGTTAGACTCCATTCTTACTCCTCCTGTAGGTTCTGCAGTCAGGATGATCTTTGACCCGTATTTTAAAGCCCAAATGCAAAGAGAGGACTTTGGATTCAAACCTGACAAGTGCAGGAAGTATTATCTATTCCAGAATGTTTGGGGCTGAAGTTTCTGGCAGCCGATGTTGGCACTTGGAGGGCATATGAGTACCCCATAGTGCCATACTTAGAATGAAATCCATACTCCTTGCCATAGGTTTCCCTGGCCACCTTGTTCTAATTGCCTCCACCCATCCTGGTATTTTCTATTTTAGCACTCTGTTTTTATCCCCTTCAAAGGTTTAATAGCCATTTATAGTCATGGTTTTTTTTTTTTTTTTTTTTTTTTTTGAGACGGAGTTTTGCTCTTGTTACCCAGGCTGGAGTGCAATGGCGCGATCTCGGCTCACCGCAACCTCTGCCTCCTGGCTTCAGGCAATTCTCCTGCCTCAGCCTCCTGAGTAGCTGGGATTACCACCATGCCCAGCTGATTTTTTGTATTTTTAGTAGAGACGGGGTTTCACCATGTTGACCAGGATGGTCTCGATCTCTTGACCTCGTGATCCACCTGCCTCGGCCTCCCAAAGTGCTGGGATTACAGGCTTGAGCCACCGCGCCTGGCCTTACAATCATGTTATTAACACATCTTATTTTGGGTTTGTTTCCCTCATTAGTATATAAGAACCAAAAAGGCCCAAAGTGTACTATCTTATTTACTGTGACAGCCCAGTGCTTGGCACAATACCACAAATAGCAGGTGCTCAAGAAATGTTTTTCAAGTGGGTGGATCAATCGATGCTACTCTGGCAATTAGAAGCCCGAAAGTAGAGGGGGCAAAAACAAACACCTGTGAAAAGCAGCTGTTGGGGTAGGGCAAAAATAAAAGTTCCTACCATTTGGCCCAGCAATCCCATTACTGGGTATGTAGCCAAAAGAAAGTAAATCGTTCTATCGAAACGACACATGCACTTGTATGCTTAATGCCATTCTATTCACAATAGCTAACACATGGAATCAACCTAGATGCCCATCAGTGGTGGACTGAATAAAGAAATTTTTGAGACATATATGCCACAGAATACTATGCAGCCATAAAAAAGAATGGAATCTCCTTTGTAGCAACATGGATGCAGCCAGAGCCCATCTTACTAAGCAAATTAATGCAGAAACATAAAAGCAAATACTGCATGTTCTCACTTCTAAGTAGGAGCTAAATATTGGGTATTCATGGACATAAAGATGGCAACAGTTAACACTGGGGACCACTAAAGGGGGCTGGGAGGGAGACAAGGGTTGAAATACTGACTATTGGGTACTGTGCTCACTATCTGAATGACAGGATCATTTGTATCTCAGACCTCAGCATCACACAATACACCCAGGCAAAAAACCTGCATATGTACCTCCTGAATCTAAAAAGTTGAAATTATAAAAAAAAAAAAAGGCCCTGGAACATGCACAAAAAAAATAAAAAAAAGAATATAAGGAATGTGGGTTGGTGCTGGGGTGCTGGTAGTTCATTTCAAGGAGGAGAAGGAATTTGGGCTGGGGAAGAAGGGATGTTGAAATTATATTTTAAAAGTTAAGTTTGGCCAGGTGTAATGGTTTGCGCCTATAATTCCAGCGCTTTGGCAGGACAAGGCAAGCAGATTCCTTGAGCTCAGGAATTTGAGACCAGCCTGGGTGACATGGGGAAACCTTGTCTCTACATACATACATACATGCGTAAGTTGGGTGTAGTGGCATGCACCTGTAATCCCAGCTACTTTGCTTGAGCACAGGAGGAGAAGGTTGCAGTGAGCCGAGATCACGCCACTGCATTGCAACCTGGGTGACAGAGCTAGACTTTGTCTCAGAAAAGTTCAAGCCCACATTAGTATAATTCTAGTAAGTACAGCTCCAGATAGGAATATAGATCGGAGTCAGTTTGTAGTGAGATGAATGCCCAGGGATGTCGCTTCACTACGGCTAAAAAGCTAACCAACATATTGAAAGTGTGATCACCCAAGACAGTGGTTCATGAACTTGTCCGAGTCTACAAGTCACCCCAGGATCTTGTTAACATTGTAGGATCCCCGTTTCCATCTCCAGTTCAAGAGGCTGGGGACACAAAGAAATCTCAAGTACCCCCAGAGACCTGGTCAGAAAGTGGCAAACTGAAAGGCTGGTTTCTCAATAGAGCAAATAAAATGCACTAATGCTAAGTTCATTTTTGGCCAATGATTAAAGACGCCAAAAACTTAAGCAATTTTGACTGAAATAAAAAATGAAGCTTTCTTGAGTTTCAGACACTCCCGCCTCTCTGTTTCATTTAGATAAAAGTAGTCTAAATCCTGGTCCTGGTCATTTTCCGTGGGCAGGGCAGGAGTGCAGGCTTTATTGGAAATGAATGATGAAAATGAAAGACAAGATTAGATCAATGCCTTATGATGGAAGAGCTCACAACTTGAGAATCAACATGCCACTGCAGTCCATCAGATGTGTCTGGATACTTACTGATTTTGCAAAGCTGAAGAAGCTCTTGGTCTCTCCAGTTACCATGTTAGATGAGCCTGCAAATGCAAGATTCCCACATCAAGCAATTGTTAATGAAAATTGACATCTTGTTATGCATGAAAAAAAAAAGGCAGTTTGGTCCAGAACTGGCAAAATCTTGAAAACAAATTTAATTAAGCCTTGGCAAAGTGAGGGGGATGAGAATGAGTCATCATGTTGGCTATTTTAGCTGGATGTCTCTGATCCAAGAGAAATTGACATTTCTCATGGTGACCGTTTCATTACTTTGAAAAATTGGGCATGTAGCAAAAATATGATATAGGTCAACATTTGAACAAAATGATGAGTTGCTGAAATGTCTTTTTGGGTCTGTTCTTTGAGACTGAGAAGGGAATTCCTTAGTGAAACTACTTTGTGATACTGAATTTGATTCCCCAGCAAGTAAGGGGCTTGGGGCTCTGACCTGGGCTGGGTACTTAACTGGTGGGAGAGGTGGAACAGAATTAAAATACAGATGGATTGGAAAAAAATGGGCATAGAAGCTCACAGGTGAGAATGAAAAGAGGTCCAGAGACCTAAAGAAATGGTGTGACCCATGTGTCAGCTCCAAAGAGGACTGAGACAAGTGTCACAAGAAACTGAGCTTTGCCAGTTGGACAAGCAATATTCAGAGGGCAGATGGGAGGTGGAGTTAAAAAAGATTCCCTAAGATTCTCATAAGGAGAGAAAAGACCCTTTACAGGGTTTGGGGGCAAGAGAGGGGGAATGAGAGAGCTCTTAACAGTATGGGGAACATTCAGATACCATACAGGTGCTTTTTCAATGACTTTCCTGCCTTGTCTCTAAAGATGTGGGAGTAAGTTCTTCTCAAAGAGGAGTTATTTAATAAAATAATCATGGGTATTTTAAACTAATTATTTAGCCTGGGTAAACTAGTAGCCAGTTTCAGGTTGGTGCAAAAGTAATTGTGGTTTTTGTCATTACTTTTTTTTTGGGGGTGGGGTGGGGAGGTGGGGCTAGAGTCTCACTCTGTTGCCCAGGCTGGAGTGCAGTGGCACAGTCTTGACTCATGGCAACTTCTGCCTCCCAGGTTCAAGCAATTCTTCTGCCTCTGCCTCCCGAGTAGCTGGGACTACAGGAGCACTCCACCACACCTGGTTAATTTTTGTATTTTTAGTAGAGACGGGGTTTCACTATGTTGGCCAGGATGGTCTCGAGCTCCACACCTCGTGATCCGCCCACCTTGCCTCCCAAAGTGCCAGGATTACAGGCATGAACCACCACGCCTGGCCTGTCAATATTTTTAATAGCAAAAACTGCAATTACCCTTTTACCAACCTAATAGTTAACTATTGCTTCTGTTTGTATGGGGTGAGTACTACTGGGCATCACAGTACTAGAGTTTAATTAGTGACCAAGTGATCACTGTAATGAATTAGATAATCGTGAAATACTCAAGTTGAATAATCAAGGTGAATTTTACCAAAATGACATCATGAAACGGGGGCAAAAATCGAATTATAGGTAAATGGTAAGTAAGGATGACTATATCATTCATCTGCATTTGACCCACATGTTAGTCATATCCGATGTCCTTGTAATGTGCGTGGACTCTCATCGATAATAATAAATTACACATCCACTTCAACGGAAATACATGGACATCATTGAAATTACTGGCACACTCCAGCAATGGAATGTTTACCTACCCCTGGTGAGCTCAGCCTTCCTTCTATTACAATGATCTGAAGGTGACCAAAAGAAGCTTGCATATCTGTACCCCTTAAATATTTACTTTATAAGCTCTTCAGGCAATAGCAGGTAAACGAGTGTTTTTCTCTGAGTTACCCAGAATTAACACTCAGTTTTCTATTGTACCTACAATACAATATTGTATTGTATTCTATCTCAAACACTGGGTAAACCCAATATTATTTAGCTTCAGAATATGCTACCTAGTTTCAAATACTCCTATTTTAGTTTGCGAAGACTAATGTGTAAATTAGTTTGTTTGCCTGTGACAGAAAAGCAGAAAACGAGAGAAAGGAGGCCCTGGAGCCTTATTTTGCTGAAGAAAACTCTCCGGTTTTTTGTTTTGTTTTGTTTTGTTTTCGAGACAGAGTTTTGTTCTTGTTGCCCAGGCTGGAGTGCAATGGCATGATCTCGGCTCACCTCAGCCTCTGCCTCCTGGGTTCAAGCAATTCTCCTGCCTCAGCCTCCCGAGTAGCTGGGATTATGGTCATGCGCCACCATGCCCGGCCAATTTAGTATTTTTAGTAGAAATGGTGTTTCTTTATGTTGGTGAGGCTGGTCTTGAACTCCCGACATCAGGTCATCCCCCTGCCTCGGCCTCCCAAAGTGCTGGGATTACAGGCGTGAGCCACCGCGCCCGGCCCCCAGTTGTTTTTCACACACCTCTTCCACTCCTAAGAGCACAGAAGTGGATGTAGAAATCGATGGAAATGGATATGTGCTCCATCTATCCCAGGCTCCATCCTGAGCGGGACACTCAGGAGTAGTTGAGGGGACAAAGAGTGTGTACTTCTCAACTTCTTCTCCAATAGTGAAGAGCCTCCCTTAAAGCCCCCACATCCCAGCCACCCTTCCCCATCCTACTGTGGATCCTTCATGCCTTCTGTACTTGTGAATGTTCTTTGAAGTCGTTAATATTTTCCACCTGTGCTCCCTCTTATGGGTGATATCCCTTAATGGTTCTACTCACATCAGTGACCACATTGGCTTGGTCTTACTTTATCCCACTTGAAATAATAGGATATAGGACGCTACGCACATGATATTTTATAATTGAAAAGAAATCACAGCAATAGAAACATAGGAAACATTAAAAAGTGAAACTCCCCAATCCTACTATCCCAACATAACAGCGTATTTCACTTTTCAGAGCCGTTGCGGGCACATGTGCAGTTATCGGTTACCGACCACATCCCTACTGCTGTTGAACACTCACCGTATAAAATGTAGGTTCCCAAGGGTTTGAGAAGACTGAGACCTTTTCCAGTGTTGTCTCCGCAGAGGCAATCCAAAACGATGTCCACGCCTTCAGCAGAGATTCTAAATGGTGAGAAGGCAAAGCAAAATCCTGTGACCTGTCAGGGGCCAGACCGCGAATCCCTTTCCTTTTCCTGCATCATATTGTTTGATTCCCAGCATAAGGAACCCTGAGGGCGCCAGGAGTAGCTGTAAATAGGGCAGTTGCCCAGGAGGTAGATTTGTCTTCCTGGATCCAGTGATAAAATTTCACAAAGCAGGTGGCAGCTAAAAGTCTGGCTGGTAGCTGGCACTGGGAACCAGCCTGGCCTGGAGGAATGAACATGGGGTCAGCGGGTCTGAGTTTGCATCTAGCTCCTTCACTCAAATTCTCTAGCTTCAGCTTTCTCCTTTGTAAAGTGGAGCTAGTATTTTGTGTGTGTGTGTGTGTGGTAAGAATGGGGGCTCAGGCTTGTCACAGAACAGTCATTCAATATCTCAGTTAGCAATTCCTATTTGTAGAGCAAGAGTTAGTTTCCTGGCTCTGTTCAAGGTGCTGGAGATGTAATGAAGCAAACTAGTATGCTCCCTGTTTTTGTGGGGCTGCGGCTGTAGCAGGGGCTGACCTCCCTCCCTCCCAACCTCCCTTTACAGTGAAGACGTAAAGCACAGTAATCTAACGTGTAAGCTTCTGTTCCTCCAATGTCCAGGTCCAACCTAAAACTGACTCTAAGAGGAAGAGGGCTGAATAGAGATGAACTTCCTCCGGCAATGGGTGGCTGTGGAGTAGAAAGAAGCCACATTTGTATTGCCTTAGACAAAGCATTCTTGATCTCTTCTTCTATTCATTTATTTATATATTCATTGATTCACTCACTCACTCGTTAATGCATGTAAGCAACTTTTACTGGGCTCCTATTGTTAGTTCATACAGGAGGGGCCTGTAGAACAGGAAGGCTCTGGAGATTGTGGGGAAGATACTCATGCCACGCCCATGGAGATCCCTATTCTGGCAGATCCCTGTTCTGTTCAGACAAGAATGGCATTTCCTTGTGTTTGCAAGTTTGCAGGATTATCTTGTCTTAGCAAATACCTCAATGTTTCTACCTCCAAGTACACCCTGGCAAAATTTAGGCATTGCAGCATGTGTCCACACAGCTGGGTCCTGTGTCCATAGTGTCACTAACTAGGAAACTGCACGTATATCTCCTGAGTGCAGAGACCAAGTCAGCTTCCCCATGCAGCTGAGGCTTTATGTGACTGTGCCCTTCAAAAGCCCTCACGTCACACCTAAAATGCAGCCCACTACCAAGGCGCACCCCACATGATCAGCTTAGCTTCCTGCCTAATAGAGCTCTTATCTGCACAGGGGTGTACCCTGAGAGTTCAAAACAAGGGAATTAGGACAGTGGATCTCAAACCTAAGTGTGTACTGTAATAACTCGCAGGTTGGTTAAAACACAGACTGCAATCTTCCCCTTCTTCTCTGATTCTGTAGGTCGATGATGGGGATTTGCATTTCTAACATTTCCAGGTGATGCTGCTGATAATTCCAGCTCTGCACTCTGAGAATTCCTGATCTAAGCCAGTTACTCAAGAGCCAAACTGGCATTTTTTTTTAAACAAATTAACTAATTTGTTCATTAGATATCCAGGACTGGGCACTGCACTAGGCACTGGGGGATGTAGTGGTGAGCCCAAATAGATGTGCTTTCTCTTCTTTTTGGAGCGTGTAAGAGACAGATATTTACCAATAATTACACAAATAAATGTTAAGTTGAAATGTGGTCTCAAGGGACTCTAAAATTGTGTAAATTGAGAATTTTCCCAATCAGGGCTATCAGAGAGGCATCCCTAGGGAGGGAAGGAGCTGAGTAGGTAAAGAGTAAAGGGAATGGTGTCCTAGGCAGAGGGAAGAGCTTGTGCAAAGGCCCTGTGGTGGGAGGCAGCCTGGGAAGCAGCCAGTGTGGCTCAAGTGAAAAAACAAAGAGGCACTTGCTTCGAGGTTGGGCTGGAGAGCCGGGCGGGCGTTGGAGCACGTGGACTCTTGGTTGGTGGGCTTCAGGTTGGTGGTGAGGTCTTCACTTTGCATTATGGGCTGGGTAATTGTGCTCCTGTTACCATCACTTCTGCCCAGGTCTGTTTTCTGCCCAGTTTGCTCACTCTTGTGGGAGTCAGGTCCTGCTCTGCTTTTACCAGCCAGGCCTCCTGAGCCATCAAGTCCTCCTAGTGAACTGCATTTCCCCAAGACCTCTCCCCTTGCCTGCAGGATGCCCACCTGTGGTCAGAAGCAGCCTCACCAATATTAGGCCACGCATACCTCCTGCTGTAGCCCTGAAGGGTCTACCAAGCCTTGGATTTTCATCCTCTGCTGCTCCTCACATCCGCATGCCACCTGGCGAGCCACATTCTCTCCCACAAACTGCCAGTCGTATCTCCCTGTGTTAGTCCCGTTTTGACCTGTTGCTCTGTCCACTGGACTCTGCTTCTGCAGAAATGCAGGGCATGCCCAGAGCCAGCAGTGGCCCATAAACTCCTGTGCATGTCCCCATCTTCACCTCCCACCGACAGCTCAAGGCATTTGGCCTTTTGATTGTCCCTAGAGGTTTCTGACCTCAGGACCTTAGCATGTGCTCTCATCTCTGTCTGGACAGCCTTTCCTCTGCTCTCCTTAGAACTGGTGCTTTCTCATCCTTTTCAGATCTCACTCACAAAAGATCTTCCCAGAGGAGCTGTAACTAATAACTCCACCTGAAACAAATCTCCATTTTAGTTTCCTTTATGCTTCAGTGTTTACACTGGAGATAACTTTTAGTACCTATCAGAGGTTACAATTATTTATTTATTGATTGATTTTCTCTCCCACCAAAATTTAAGCCCCATGAGTCAGAGACCATGTTTGTGCTGCTTATGATGGTATCTATAGCCCTTCTCTTCCTGCTGGCTATAGTGTTGCTTCTCAAGAAATAGTGACTGACCGGAGGAGTTTGCAAGTGCTTCAATGAATGGGTAACTGAATGAATGAAAGACAATGAAAAAAACAGCTTAAGACTGCTATTCCGTGTCTCTATATGTGTGCCTCCTTGGAAAGGAAACTCATATTTCAGAGCTCTCCTATGCAACAGCTATTCCATAATTAACCGTCACAAAAAGCCTGTAAGGCAGGCATTTTAACTCCACTTATAAAAAAATTAAATCAAGGCTTACAGATGCAGCCATCTTGCCCAAGCTTACCAACTAGCACAGCTGGAATTCAATTCTAGGTTTAGTTTAACTCCAAAGATGATGGCCTTTTCACCACTCTGAATTTAAGACTTAATAAATGTTCAAGCCAGTGTTAAGTGTGGAAGCATCACTTTAGCAAGCAGCTCTGAGAAGCAGCCAATGTAATGTAGTCTTTGGAGAAATCAGGTTTAAATTTCATCTTGAAATAAATACACGTACATTGAGAGTCTTATGTTTGATCAAAGTTTGACCTGGATCAAACATCTAAACCGAAAGATTTCTCTTTTCAAGCTGGTTTCCGCCCAGAGTTCATAGGAGAGACCCACGGTCACAGTCCCACAAATTTACCCTTAATTTCCAGCCACTGGATAACCATTTTGCTGAGTGTTTACTTCACGTTAGGCACTGTGCATGCTGAGTTGGGAATACACAGAGAAGGCTGAAGTTTGCCCTGACCATCCAGGAGCTCATGGGCTACAGGTGGGGACACAGTGATGGCTGCTCCAACAGAGCAACCTAGGGGTTTTGGAAGATGACCCTCTGTTGAGGATTGGCAGATGACCAGGCGACCAAGGGAAGGCATTTCTCGGAGAATAGTGTAACAGCTTGACCTAGGACAGTGAGAAGGTTTTGGGACACTAATCATGGCAATGAGGAGGCCTGGCCACTGACTCCTTCTGGAAGGACCCTAAGAGTGGCTGTCACAACCAACAGCTAACATGGAGGCAGATAGGCAGCGGGGAGGCAAGAGAAACATAGTGCTAGGCTTAGGAATATAAATTTTATTTCAGTGTTAATCATCTAGTCCTGCTACTTACATGCCGTGTGACCTTAGGTGAGTTACTTAGCCTCTCTGTGCCTCCTTTCCTCAACTGTGGAAGGGGATGACGGTGATGACACCCACATTTTCTTTCTGAAGCTTGAATGAATGGATGCAAAGGGAACACAGAGCCCAGCTCATGGTAAGCTCTGGGTCCGTGGTAGCTTTGACTGATTTCTATTTTTCAAAATGGCTCAACTTCCAGTCTTTTGGTTGGGAAGAGGGCATGAAAAGAAAGTATGTAAAACCTCTCCAACTCAACCGTCAGTCTAAGCAGCCTCAGGGTGGGTGGAGACACCAGCCCAGAAACCACTGGAGCTGAGGCTTGCCGCTCTTGACCTTCCGAGGAGAGTGTGGCACACTCTTGAGCACTTACTATGTCCCAGATGGAGTGCCGAGAGCTTCCTAAGTGTTTAATCCTTGAGACTGGGTCTTGCTCTGCTCACCAGGCTACATTCATGCGTCATGCCAATCCTCTGACTCGGGTCGTCATTATCCGCATTTGATAGATGAGGAAACTGAGGCTCAGTGAGGTCAGGTGACTCACCCCAAGGCCTACTGCACAGAGTGGGAAGATCTTAGTTTGTTCCATCACATCTGGAAACCAGGCAAGGGGCCGGGCGCGGTGGCTCAAGCCTGTAATCCCAGCACTTTTGGAGGCCGAGGCGGGTGAATCACGAGGTCAAGAGATCGAGACCATCCTGGTCAACATGGTGAAACCCCGTCTCTACTAAAAATACAAAAAATCAGCTGGGCTTGGTGGCGCGTGTCTATAATCCCAGCTACTGAGGAGGCTGAGGCAGGAGAATTGCCTGAACCCAGGAAGCGGAGGTTGCGGTGAGCTGAGATCGCGCCATTGCACTCCAGCCTGGGCAAAAAGAGCGAAACTCCATCTCAAAAAAAAAAAAAAAAAAAAAAAAAAAAAAAAAAAAAAAAAAAAGAAAAGAAAAAGAAAAGAAACCAGGTAAGGGCATCAGAGGTGAAGTAGGGTTTCACAGGGTAAGAAGTGGCCAAGCCTGAGTTGACCACCAATGTCAAT